CTTTAGCACGCTATTTGTTTCGGACCGACCATTAATGTCGTAAGCACTGATAGAACTGTGAGCGTGAATCGGACCGCGGCCTAACTTTCCTCATGTAATGCATCAACTGTCATCAGCTTATAAAGGTGTCTTTATATGCCGACGTTCGACGCTCATTTTCGGCGTCAAAATAAGTCACGTGATAGAAATTGGCGACTATCAAGCATCAATTTTGATCTTGTGATTTATTTTGACGCTGAAAACAGCTGAAAACGAACGTCGAGCGTCAGCATGAAAAAGCACCTTATGGTTATAGGTACTTATACTGAATTAAAATGGCGATGATGATCTAACCCAACCGACGCAATGTCGCATCTCTGGTATCTAGAGGCCGCAGCACAGACTTTTGCATAACGCATAAAGGTAAATTTTCACGAGCTGCTCTAACCGGCTATTTTAGCGACAAAAAGGATCACGTGATCAAAATGGACATTTGATATTCGTCAATTTTGACCACGTGATTCTTTTTGTCGCTGAAACAGCCGGTTTGAGCAGCCCGTAAAAATTTACCTTAACGCATAGTGCATAAGCGAATCAACTAATCAGAATCTTTCCTTTCCTCCCATTCCATGGAAGAGAAGAATTTCAATTGGTTGATTCCTTTATGCATTATGCATTATGCGTTATGCAAGAGTCTGTGCTGCGATCTTAAGGCCATAAGCGAATCAACCAATCAGAGTCCCTTATTTCCATCCCCACTTCTCGTTCTGTAGATCTTGCATAGCGCATAAAGCATAATAGCCACAGCACACACTTTTGCATAACGCATAATCCATAGTTCATAATGGAATCAACCAATCGAAATTCTTCTTTTCCATGGAATGAGAGGAAAGGAAAGCTTCTGATTAGTTGATTCCTTTATGCACTATGCATTATGCGTTATGCAAGAGTGTGTGCTGCGGCCTTAAGACACAAGATGTCGAAAAATCCGTAGACGAACTTTTCATGCTATGCAGACATCTTAAGAAGCAGAAATACGAAGAATGCTCTCATTCTAGCCTGTTCTAACCTCGAAACGTGTGATAAATAAGTACGTTTGGGAGGGCTCCGATTGCACACATCGCATATTGCACACATGTATCGCTGATTGGCCAATTTAAAAATAAAATAATCTCATTGGCAAAACAGTTAAAAATTACTAGGCACCAGTTGATATGAGTGGTGTGTACAATCAGAACTGTAGGCAAACGGGATCCTCCCGCTTGCGGTACTTTGTTATCTAGTGACTTTAGCAATATTGATAAAGAGAGTTCTCTGCCGGAATAATTGCAAATTACAGGTTCTTCGTTTTTTGAAAGAGGTCTCTCGTATCAAGTCCATTAACAGCTCACAGTAGTAACAGCCTGTTATCCGGTAACCGGACTGAGAAACACGCGCGGCTTTCTTAAATTAGAAAATGAAACCCAAGATGGATTTGTTGGCTGAGTCTGCGTGGAAACAGCTACAGCAATACTTCGACAATAATGGCTCGAAAATTAATATGTACGATATGTTCCAGCGGGATCCTAAACGTTTCGAAAAATTTAGGTATTTCCCAGTCTGCTTTTAATGTCCTTGAGATGACCTTTTACAAGTTATTTATCATATGATCGAAAAAAGTATTAAATATTTCGTTTTTTATTAAACATAGAATTTTTAAATAAATCTTTAAATATTTTTTCATTAAATTTAATAAAAAATAATGCATGCTCTTAGGTAATTAATTTGCATTTATTAGAACTGTAAATGGTTCTAAATTTTTCAAAATGTACAAAAAATTTTGAATTGTACGAAAACTAAATAAACATAAGATATGTACAAAAATTATATTTAAGTAATTATGTAAAACAGTCTGGAGATCTCTACTTCACAAGATGGGCCAATTTTATTGGATTATTCCAAGAATAAAATTAATGAAGAAATATTTGGATTATTATTTAATCTGGTATGTAGAATTAATTTATATAAAATTGTTTTGGTTGAGTTCTTAACATTTGAATTATGTTATTATGTCATTCTATAGGCTCGCGTACGGGAAATAGAAGTTGCAAGAAGTGCCATGTTTAATGGTGAAAAGATCAATTTCACAGAGAATAGAGCAGTTCTGCATATTGCTTTGCGTAATAGAAGTAATACATCCATATTAGTAGATGGAAAAGATATAATGCCTGATGTCAATGCAGTATTAGAACATATGAAAAACTTTACAAATGAGGTAAGTTTATCATTCATTTTTTTTTATATAGAGGAAAGCCCCCTATTATGAGATAGGTGCCTAATATGAGATAGCGACGTTTCTGCTAAACTAATAAAAACGCCTATTATTTCTACCATAAATTTATTACTCTTGGATTGAAAACTATTTAGTGGAAAATTCATTATTAGATACTTGTAGTCGTTGTAAAAAAAGATTAAAAAATTTGGATGTCTAAGTTTCATTAAGATGAGTCTTTAAACCTTGTTTATTATTTAATAAGTAAATATTTGGCAATAAATTCTTCATGTAATGATAGAGTAAGATCGTACTAATAGAAAAATACAAGATATGTTGAATTGTTTAATTACAGAAGTTAGATTTGATGATCATAAAACAGTAAGGCGCAAAAATTGTAATATGAGATACCCAGAGTATTTTTAATTTGAAATAACCTATGCTCCTATGTCATAGTAAAAATTGTTGTTAAAGTATAAATATTATTGTACAATAATAAAAAGGCTAACCTGAATTAACATTGAGTGCCTATTTCTGCGATGCTTGGTTTTAGCTACCTGAAGACGAATACATTGCATGCGCGCACACTGACTTGTGTTTGTTCGTATTTTAGAAACATTAAATAAAGTTTTTTAATTTCAATACTGATGTACTTTGCGTTTTATTATTGATTTCTCGGGATATTAGGAGTACAATTATTTGACTTTGCGATTTATTTACTTTTTACATTCTTTTAATTAAAAAAAAAATAGAATTTGTATTAAATTTTACATAAAGCCCATTCTACAATTGCGTAAGCGTCGTTGTAAGTGGTTATAACTGTAAGAATTAACCAATCATAATCAAACATGAGGACAATATTTGACTGTGTTTAGTCAATTCTTACAACTACAACCACTTACAACTACGCTTACGCAATTGTAGAATGGGCTTAACATTATCTTAAAGCTTATTAAATTCCCTTCAAAATGACCTATTATTTTTTTAAATTCTTTCCATAGATTTCTAGTATTTACCCAAAATGAATGGTATCTCATAATAGGGGCCTTCCTCTACATATCCTCATATATAAAATATGTTTGTTTACAGGTATTGACGAAACAATGGAAAGGATTCACTGGTAAACCTATTGAAGATGTTGTCAATATCGGAATTGGTGGCTCTGATCTTGTAATTTACACAAAAGTTTTTTTTTCTTACCGTAATAATTATTAAATATTCATTTAAAATTTAATACTTATTCTAATAGGGTCCACTTATGGTGACTGAAGCTTTAAAAGCATATAGCATTGGACCTAAAGTTCACTTTGTTAGCAATATAGATGGTACTCATATAGCTGAAACTCTTAAAAAGTTAAATCCAGAAACAACTTTATTCATAATAGCTTCCAAGACATTTACTACACAGGAAACGATAACGAATGCAACTACTGCCAAACTGTGGCTTTTAAAAACATTAAAAGATGTAAGCGAATGAGTTAGAATTTATATATTAAGTATCATGTTTTGCTTGATATGTATTATATCTTACCTAATATGATATTACAATATTATTTAGGAAGCTGCAGTAGCTTGCCATTTTGTAGCATTATCTACTAATGAACAAAAGGTTAAAGAATTTGGCATTAATGTGAAAAATATGTTTGGTTTCTGGGATTGGGTTGGTGGACGTTACTCATTGTGGTCAGCTATTGGCTTATCAATCTGTTTGTCAATTGGTTTTGATAATTTTGAAAAACTTTTATGTGGTGCTCACTTTATGGATCAACACTTTTGCACAGCGCCATTAGAGCAAAATGTAAGTACATTGAATGAAAAGAAATTATATTCTACTAAATTATCGATTACTCAAAAATAATCTCGAAAATTAAAAACTAATAAAACTAAATAAATTGACTAAATTCAAGTACATATATACATATACACATATTATACATACACATATATATATATATATATATAAAGGAGAGCTTTTAATTTTTAAAATGATTTATTACATAAATATTATGATATAAACTGTATATATTATAATGACTTATGCCCAATTTCTTCACCTTTAGATATCTTTAGATTACAATGGAGATGTCTCCGGGATAAGGTTATTCGTAACTTATCTGGAAGTGAAGAAATTGGGTATTAAAGAAATTGGAGAATGATATCATTACATTTCATGATTTAACTTATTCTTTGTAGGCTCCTGTTATATTAGCTTTACTTGGCATATGGTATCATAACTTTTATAAGGCTGAAACACATGTATTATTACCATATGACCAATATCTACACAGATTTGCAGCTTACTTTCAGCAAGGCGATATGGAAAGTAACGGAAAATATATTACTCGTTCTGGAAAACCCGTAAATTATTCCACTGGTATATTTTATATTATCCAGAATACATAGATTTTTAAATACACTAAACAGATAACAGATTAACATTTGTTGTTTTTTTTTTTAAGGACCAATTGTATGGGGAGAACCTGGCACTAATGGACAACATGCATTCTATCAGTTATTGCACCAAGGTACAAGACTTGTACCAGCAGATTTTATAATTCCTGTTCAATCTCAAAATCAGGTGAAAATTTTTTATAATGCTATATTTATTAGACTTATTTGTTATAATACATGTAATACATTAGTTTTACACTTATGCTGAGGATGACCCAAATCATAATATCGAAAAATTTATTGTTAATTTTTAATAATCTATCTTGTGCACATCCAATATTAGCTCTTATTGGCTTCTTTTATTACAGAAATCTTTAGAGCCTTTTAATAATATTTTATTTATCTGTTATTATACATTTTTATTTGTATACTTTGTGCAGATTGCTCCACATCACACGATTTTACTTGCCAACTTCTTTGCACAAACTGAAGCTTTAATGAAAGGCAAGAATGAAAATGAAGCTCGAGCCGAATTGCAAAAATCAGGATTGAATGCTGAACAAATAGATCCATTATTACCACATAAATTGTTTGAAGGAAACAGACCGACAAACAGCATTGTAGTAAAAAAACTGACACCTTTTATTCTTGGCGCTTTGATCGGTAAATGCACAATAATGATATATATGTATATGTTTGACAAATCGTGACGCAATTGGCGAAATATTCTTTATATTTTCTCGAATACTTTTTTCAAAATCATGCAATGAATCAAAAGCATTGGTTAATATAAATTTTACTTACATTTTTATGTGCAATCATTTCTTTGCTGATTGTATCATGGTTTATTGGATATTAAAGCATAATCTGTATATTAAAGCACATATAATCATACAGTTAGACAATTGTGATTTTTTACTTCTATTTTTTTCAGCAATGTATGAACATAAAATCTTTGTGCAAGGTATTATTTGGGACATCAATTCATATGATCAATGGGGGTAAGAAAAAAAATTATATTTTTGCATGAAAGTTTTTTACCAATAAATACAAATTCTTTAATGGAATTCTTAAAAAAAATAATATTTCTATATACAGCGTGGAGTTGGGGAAACAGCTAGCTAAAGCCATTGAACCAGAACTGGTTAGTGCAGAAAATGTCACAACACATGATTCATCGACTAATGGTTTGATAGCATTTGCTAAACGCCACAGAGTCTAAATATACTTATTTAGTTATATTCTTTGTTACAAGACGTTTAAAATAGAGATAGCCGAATATGAATAACTATATTCCAAGTTGTGTTATCAGAATTTATGTATATACTTGAGATATTTATATATATATATATATATATATAAATTTTTGATTCTATTAATATATTACAAAATGTACTTTTAAATTATGATTATAGAATTAATTTATTTTGATATACAAAAAAAAGGATTATATAATTCAATGTTACAATATTACTACAGTGGAATCAGAGAAGTTAGAATTATAATAAAAATGATTTGATTATATTTAATGTATTTACTAAATCATATTTGCTATGATCTGAGAGATTTTAAATATTGAATAGAAAAGTACAAGCGTTAGTTGTAATTAACATAATATAAAAGTTAAATGAACAGTGTTGTAAGAGTATCGCAATATAACATTATCTTTAACAGAACATTCAGTAGTTTTCTTGATCTATTTTAGATTTTTTAATATTTTCTAATTTATATATTTATTTAATAAAAACGTTTTTATTTAATATGCATACATTCCCATCTTACTTTTTATCTTTGACATCTTTAATTTTATGATAACGTGTTATGGTAACATTTTCATTTTATGCCTAAATTCTAAACAGAATGATAAGGTTCATAACATATTCTTTAAGACTTGTAAGAATTTTTAAGTGTGCTTATACCTTTATACGATATTTTTATAGATAACTTCTTACTAATCATAAAATATACAAGAAATCATAGATATTTGCGAATAATCGTATGTCTTACAATACATACGCATAAAATTAGAGTACTAATTATAAGTTCTTACAAATTTTACGAGAGTATGTTACGAGTCTTACGATTCAGCTTAGAATGATAACGTTTTATGATAACATTTTCATTAATCTATGCAAATCCAGCTAAATTTTTAATTTTTAAATAATAAATGTATAATAGAAAACTTGAGACTTGTATAAAAATATGTGACGTCATAGTTACATAATTCTATCTAAGGCTACGTTCCAAAACGTCCTCTCCAAGGAAGATTTTACTCTATATGCTGTAGTCTATATACATTACGTGTACTATATATTTCGAGTAAAATTTTCCTCGGAGAGGAAGTTTTGGTATGTAGCCTAAATTATTAAAATTTTAGGTAATTATTCAGAATACCTCCCTTATCTCCGATTTCGATAAAATTAGGCTCATTCGACGCGTTTTTGCATGAAACGAAAGAATCTGGCAGAAAAAAGTGTCGCTCTGCCTCGCGAACCGAGATATTTAGCGTTAAAGTTGACGACTATGGAGGT